GCACTCCTTCATTTTTTATTTTCTTTTCTTTTTAATTTTTTTTCTTTTTTTAATCGTTCATTTATCGTTCCTATTAATAGTAACTATCCGACGATATCGTAATTGGACAAGAGATATATTCGTTAATTATATTATCGAACTTTATATATAGATTTTCAATATTAGATTTAAACTCGTCTAGAATCTCTTATTGAGTGTTTCTTCTTTTTATTTTTCTTTTTTATCTTTTCTTTTTTTATTCTTTTATAAATATATGCTCCATATATTTTTTCCTTATTCGCGATCACTATTAGCTAGTTACGCGCTAATATGATATTTTTCGGCTGTTTCTATGAATTTATTAACCTTGCAGAAACAGTGGTTAGCTTTTGCATGCTCGCCTTTCTGAAATATGTTTAAATAATTATTAGAAAAAAAAAGTACAGTATCGAGATCCCTAATTAATATATAATCATTTAAATAAATCGTATTTGTGATATAATACGTACATATCTTTTTGCTCATGAATATTTAAGTGAAATTATATCAAAATCCTAACATTTGTTTGCATAATATTTATTTCGTTTCGTAATAATTACTGTACCTTTTGTCCCTCCCCCTCCCTCTCCGAATATATTTAAGGAAGGAAACGGCAATAAAATATTTTAGTCTAACGTTTCTAATACCTTTTCTTGAAACTCTTTCGAAAGAGTTACAATAGTCATAGACACTGTGGTGTATCGATCAAGTGTTAAATGGCAGCAATTCACGGATTCCATTTTGAAATCACCTTGATTTCGAATCCTGTGTTTAACGTCCATATTGGAGAATTTATCTAACGTTTGTAGGCGACATACTCACGAACATAATACATACTTCCTTGGAAATAAAAACAAAAGGAATAAAAAGGAATCAAATTTCATATTTCCGAACGAGTTGTCATTCTCCCACGAAATTTCATACATAATAATCTAATACGTATAAAAATCAATGGTAATAATGATGATAGAAGAAACATACGTTTCTCGTAAAATGTGTAAGCGATTTATCGAGTTCCCTTTTTAAATAAAGATATATAGCATGCGCAGATGTGTCTGCGTGTGCATGTTTGTGGCGGCATAATTTATTAATAATAAACGAAAGCAGCATGTCTCTCGTGAAATATGTATGGTGACATGGCGGAATCAATAAAGAGACTCCTATATTACGAAGTGATCCACACATAGTAGTAGTATATTCAGTTTCATTTTGTTTTCTGTTATATAGTATTAAATAACTGCGGTAACAAAAATGATAAGTTATATATATAAGGTATCTAAATGAAACGTGTATATATATATATATATATAATATACGTATATGAAAAGTATACTTATATATATATATATAATATATACGTATATGAAAAGTATATATACATATATATATATATATATATATATATATATAAATGCTGTCACTATCGACCTGTTTTTCTAGAATGAAAAGCAACTATGACAATTGTAGACTTGGAATCTAAATCAATGCTGCTACATCCTATTACTTTCTAACACATACACACTCGTATACGTTCTTCTTCATCTTCATTTCCTGCCTATGATTACATATGTACTACGTGCATAACCTCACCTCAATCGCGAACAAAGATGGCGGCATTAAACGAAAATTGAGGAATCTGAACGAAGTAGCCGAAAATTTCATTCTTCATCGTGGCTATGAAAGCGTCTGTTTGAAGCTGCTTTAAGGTTGCGGTCAGATGCGCCATAAACGCATTAAGTTAAATCCACTTAGATGGGAATCTTATATAAAACATCGTATAATCGGCTTTTATAACGGGGCTGCCACCAATGATGTGCAGCTTGCAAATGGAAACTACATTCGATATATGGAACGATCGATTTATGATACATACATACATATATCAAAGATATTTTTGAATTGAACATTTATAAATCATTGATAACGTGTAAAAAAGAAAATGTTATCGATCATTCCATGAAAGTATTAGCCATTTTTATTATTTTTATCCTCGACACCAATTTGTCGCTCAACGAGTATGATATTCTTTTATTATTTTCATGTTTTCGTTAATGTCAGAGACATCCTTTTTATTATTTTTACGATTCTATTAAAGTCAGTAATTTTTTTTTGATTATTTTTGTGATACTATTAAAGTCAATCATTTTTTTTTTCTGTTTTTATGCGCGAAATTAATTTGTTACTTAACAAGTATAATATTTTCGTATTATTTTCATAATTTCAGATGTCATCAATTTTTATTACCATTCTTGTACTCGACATTAATTTGTTGCTTGACAATTGTGATATTTTTTATTATTTTCATAATTTCTTAAATGTCAATTTTTTTCTTTTTTTTTTTTTTTAAATGTTTGGCACCAATTTATTGACAATCAATTTGTTAACAAGTATAATATGTTTGATCATTGAGAATCTAATAATTTCTTTTGAGGGGCTAAAAAATGTAATAATAGAGTCATTTTCATTGATATTTACAGGCCGTGTCGGAGAGGTTGGAATTGGCACCAGCTGGAGGAAGATCTGAACCGCAAGTGAGTTATTTATAAGCTTATTTTTAAGCCTCACCTAGGAAACAACACTTTGATTGTCAAGGTAGAGAAAAATTTCGATATTACCTATCGTTCCGTTAGAAAACGATTCTCTTCGCCTGATATCATTCACATTCGGGATTACAATCCAAGCGTGAAAAATCGATGGATTGACGTTATTTCTTGATTCGTTGGCTCACGATGTATATAATAATCGATAATTTGCGTTAAATATTGTATACAAAAATATAACTACCTTATCTATTTTAAAGACAAGTCATCGATATTTAAGGTTCTTTCCAAATTTTCTTAGATTTTTGTCTTATCCGATATTGTTAAACTTAAAAAATAAAATAAATAAAAATAATTAAAATAAATTTTTTAATTTAAAAAGAACAATTATTAAAAAAAAAAAAAAAAAAATTTTAATAACAGCTTTTTCCGTTCTTATTATTATTACTTTTTTTTTCTTCAGAATAAAAAGATAATATTACAGTGAGTTTTTGAATAGTCAAATTCGAAATTGAAAAACATTTTTCTTTATGGTAAATTTTTAATTAAGAAAAAAGAAATATTCTTTCATTATGAAACACTTTTGTTATTGTGGTTGTTTTAACTTTTCATTTTATCTGAGTAAATATCTCCAAGACAAATTTTCATTTTCTTTAAAGGTTGCAACGCTATGCGAAGTTGGCGAGGTTTACCTGGCACAACACATGGGCGAACAAGGTAGATGGGTGTCGTCGACCGATAAGAAGAGCTGTATGACGGACAAACTCGAGATCTTAGAATATTGTAAGAAGGTGAGAGACTCAGATCAATACGAAGAATCACATTTAAACATTCAATTTTTCATTCCACTTGAGAATGGTGTCTGTTGAAATTACGAAATTAATATTAAACGTTAACTTTATTTAACTTCGGAGATTAATTCATGATTTCATTAATTAACTCCGGAGATTAATTCGTAATAACTTTGGAATTTATTTCAAGATAGATCAAATGCAAAATATAATCTAAAAATGAAGAAAAATTAAATCAAGCGAAATTGACGAAATGTGACATAATTTTTACTTCTAAGATGAATTCAAAATGTCATTTCATTAAATCAACCTTAAAATCAATAAAAAAAAATAAATAAATAAATAAATATATAAATAAATAAAATAAGTTGATAATCTTCAGCCTAGAAATAACAAAATAAATCAAAATACGACATGATTAATATAAAAAAAAAACCACCATGAAAAGGTGTTTATTGAAATTTGAAAATCAATTTTAACGATTAACTTTACCTAATTTCAAAATCAATTTAAAAATAGGCAAATCGAAAAATGTAATCTAGAAATTCAAAAAGTAAATCACAACATCAGATGGTGACTCGGAAAAAAAGAAGAAGAAGTAGAAGTATAAAAGAAAAGAAAAGAAAAGAAAAAAAAAGTAAGGTGGTAAAAGGAGATCGTTTAAATCAGCCAACACCGACGACACGTCATTATTCTCAGCAGAGTCTCGTAGCAGGCTCGTTGAAGCCTAGTGGGTACTTTCAATTCGGGAGTAGAAACGCTATAGAAACGTGCACAGCTTCCCAGCTTCTCTGGCTCGTTTGGGAAAGAGTAAAAGGCAGTAGAGTTGAAATAGAAGAGTATGCCTGCTACCTTCTCTTTCTCTTTCTCTTTCTCTTTCTCTCTCTCTCTCTCCCTTTCTCTCTCCCACCCTTACACACCTTGTCCATCTCTCTTGAAAGTTATTTGCAAGTATTTTCTCTCTCTCTCTCTCTCTCTCTCTCTCTCTCTCTCTCCCCCTTTTTTTCTTTCCAAAAAAGAAAAAGAAAAAGAGAGTAGAAACGAATATAGAGCAGGTATGTCGAACTCGAATACTTCACGAGCTAGCTAGCTAGTATCATGTTAGAGTAAGACTTAGGATAAAAAGAAAGAAAGAGAAAAAGGAGAAGAAAATACGAATAACACAATGACACCGACGTGTAAAATAAGTAACGATCGTCGAAAGAAAGACACAGACATGGTTGGTGATGTGGTAAAGATGATGGTGGTGTGGTGGTGATGGTAGTAGTAGTGGTACTGCTGCTGCTGCTGCTGTTGGTGGTTTACTGTTGTACGTGTTGTATGCACGCCTCTTTGCTCGTGGCAGCCTCATTTCACTCGTGATACAACCTCGATTCACCCACGCCCGTTCCTCTGACTTGCAACACACTAGACCGCAAGAGCGCTTGCGCTTCTAAAGAGCGCACGGTTTGGCATTCCACCTTCTACAAGCCAAATCGTTTTGCCCTATGGTTTAACTTTATCGTAATTGTAGTTTATATGAAAAAATGATTAATGTATCATGTTTCTAATATGATACTTGAAGAGTTTCATTGGATTAAAATTGGATGTTATTAGTATTTGTGGCTTAATCTATATCTTTTTTCTTTTTTTCTTTTTTGTTTTTTAATATGAATTTAGAGCTGATTTCTTATGATAAATATTGAAAATTATTAATCTAATTTTTGGTTTTTGTTATTATTAATACTTTTGAGATTTCATTGATTATTACGGGATATTTTGTTAGCTAGTCACTTTATTTTTATTTATTTATTTATTTATTTATTTATTTATTTATTCTTTGTTAATTTATGATGAATTCCAAGCTAATTGTTGATAAACATTGAATATTATTTTAATTTGTCTCGAGTTCTGATTTGAAGGATTTCAAAGAGAATAAATGATTAAGTGGTCTGACTTATGTATGTTAAGGATAGATAATGGAGATCATCCTGTTTGAATATTTATGACATTTAACTTAAACATAATTTTCTAGGCATATCCAAAGAGAGACATCACTAATATCGTGGAATCGTCGCATTATGTCAGAGTCAGTGGATGGTGTAAGCCTGGAAGAACTAAATGTAAATTGTCGAGATGGGTTAAGCCTTATAGATGTCTGGGTAAGTGTTGGAAAACTAACAATAATTAATAGTAATTAAATAATAGTAATTAAAAGTTAATCAATGGATTATAATTTTGTAGAAATTACTTAAAAAGAAATTATTGATATTTATTCAAAAATCTTTGTATTTATTTATCTCAGTTATCTCCTTGATATTGATCATTCATATTGATCATTTTTATAAATATTATTTACTATATAATTTCTCAGAGGGTCCCTTCCAAAGTGACGCACTTCTTGTACCAGAGGGATGTCTTTTCGATCATCTACATAATCAGACCAAATGTTGGGAATCACACAGGTAAACAATAATACTATTAATATTACATATACACACACACACACACACACACACACACACTCACAATGTTTCTTCTTTATCTGTTATATCCTTATTACATATATATATTCTAAACTCTTCTTTATAATATTCTTTTTCTTTTTTTTTTTTCTATTTTAGGTGGAATTCAACAGCCGCTGATACCTGCAGAGAACGTAATATGAATCTAAGGAGTTTTGCTATGTTACTACCATGCGGGATATCGCTCTTCTCTGGTGTCGAGTTCGTATGCTGTCCGAAACGCCTGAAAGGTACGTAACGTACGTAACATTCTAACATCATAATATCATTCTTTTCTCATTGTCATTGAAATAACGACTGAATTTATTCGATGACAATATCCCCATTACGTCATTATTCTCAACGTGAGAGATCATTTTTATACATTCATTAACCATTTTCCGTTTCATTCTGTAGATAGATAGTTATAATTCTTTGTTTTCTCTCTCTCTCGCACACACACATACATACACACACATGATAATCAGACTCTAAAAATAATTAGCCTTTGTTAGAAAAGAATGTCCCCTTGTGATTCAAAGGAACAAACCTTTTTATACTTTTTTTTTTAATGGACACGCCTGTGGAAAATATCAGAAACAGTGAAGTGAGAAAAGAAAGAAAAAAGAGAAAGAAAGAATGAAAAAAAGATAGAGGGAAAGAATAGAATTATAAAAAGCAGTCAAACGTGTAAGATTGAAAAGAGAAAATGCGTTAAATACACGCAGGATCATTCTCTTTCTACTTGACATTTTCAATCGTTTTCTTTTTCTTTCTTCTTTCATTTCCCTAATTTCTCTCTCTTTCTCTCTCTCTCTCTCTCCCTCTCTCTCTCTTAACACCCTTCCTTCATCCTTCCTTTGTCTTCTTTCACTTCTATGTATTACCTCTCATTCTGTCTCTCTCATCCTCCCCACTTACTCTCACTGATTACATATCACACGCGCGCGCGCGCGTGCACGTGCACACAACCACTCTTTTCCACCCTTCCTTTGCCCTCCCACCACTATCGTCGTCGTATGCTCGCTCGAGTAATCAATAACGACCGCGCGTCATTCTCGACGACGACGACTACGCATCATGTTGCTATAGTTTCTCGTGTCGCAACGATATTTTCTTTTTCCTTTTTATTTTTATTTTTATTTGTATTTGTTTTTTTTTTTATTTCTATTTTTATTTTTCTTTCCTCTTTTTTCTTTCTTCCCCTTTCCCTCCTTCCCCCGTTTGTTTCGTGAAATAAATATATGTTGATTTTGTATTTATGAAAAATATTATATTTTCATTCTAAATTATCTCTCATTTTTTAATTAGTGTTTTTTGTTACTAAATTATTTCTATGTATGCATATATATTTAAAGATATATATATATATATATATATATATATATATATATATATATTTCTCTTTCTCTCAGTTGAATAAGAGTTCTATATTTCTTAATTATCTCTCAATTAAAAAAGAGTTTTAAATTTACGTTTTATTCTTCGGAACAATCTCTTTTTTTCTATTCATCTTGTGAAATAAATTTGTTTTTCAAATATATTTTCTAAAAATATTATTTTATTTACTAATTATCTCTCTAATTATTTTCTTATATCAATTTATTTTATATTTTTTGTTTTATTTTTTTTGTCTTTTTTTTTTATTTTTTTTTGTTTTTTTTTTTATCTTTTTTTATTTTTATTTTTATGTTTTTTTTTAAATGAAATTAATTCTTTATAACTCAATTTCTTTATTGCGTCCAACAAAAATTTATACAATTTGAAACTTGCATTACAAAATTTGTGTTAACTTTCCTATTATAAAAGGTGAAATTTAAACCAAAGTTATATTGATTATTACATTAGTATAATTATACTATATTATATATAACTTATATTAACTTTTGAAATATGTAGTAATTTTTATGCTTTTGTTACTAAAGATATGAAATAAAATTTTTTAAATGTAAACATAAATTTTTTAAATACAAATATATATTTGTTAAAATTACATTATTTTATTCACAAATTATCTTTCAATTTTTTTTTTCTTTAAGAATGAAATTAAGCGATCAATAATAAAAAAACAAAAGAATTAGACCATAATCGTTTGTTAATTTGCAAGATATTCTTATTATTAACAATTTTTATTTTAATCATCAGTTAAGTAAGAATTTTGCGTTTATATTTTGATATTCTTGGAATATTTTTTTTCTTTTTAAAGATTTCGAATAGTTTCAATATGTCATGACTTAACCAAAAGTACACTTAAGAATACTGCCAGCCCATACACTTATTGCACGTGTCTGCCATGCGACCCAGATAAAAGAACAGCATCGTTGGTATAACCAGAAGAGAGAAGGCTTTTGTCTGGCTTTGCAGAAGTTGAGAGAAGTCAGCTCATCAGAGAGCATCTATTCTCGGAGAATAGAACATCTCGAGAACCTAGTTAGTCAAGATGCTAGCCCTCTCTAACGTAACAGGGAAAAATTAGAGCCTCTGGAATGGAAGAGCTATGTGCCTAAGATTGAGAAAGAAAGAAAGAAGGAAGAAAAGAAAGAGTAGCCAGAAGCAAACATTTCCTCTTTGTTGTTATTTATTTCCTAGATACTTTCTTTCTCTTTTTCTTCTTCTTCTTCTTTGTAACGAGCAACCTTTTGCAAACTATTCCATTTTTCTTTCTTTCACGTTGATTAACATAAATATTATGGGCATATTTGCATCGTTCTTTCTTTTTATCATTTTTATTTCAACTTAGAAATAACGAATATTAAAATGTTTCAAACTTTGTTGAAACATTTCTTATTGTTTTCCTTTTGTATTTTATTTTATTTTATTCTAATATTTTTTATTATTTTTTTTATTCTATCATTCCAAACATATGTCTCATTTTATTACAGAAACTGTAAAAGTCAAGAAAACGATAGATTTACCGATTCCAAAAGGAGTTGACGATGATCTCGACGAGGACGAAGATGATCTCGATGACGAAGATGATCTCGATGGTGAAACCGACGACGATAATGATTCTGAAAGCGATCTCGACGATGTTTTCAGTGATCAACCAGACGATGAGGAAAGTGACGAGGAATATCTAGACGATTATGATACAACTACGAGGTAGGTATATGATTTCAATGAAAAATTATTTACTCTTTTGTTTATATCAAAACTCATTGTTTATCAAAAATATTAACTTAAAAATTTACAACAGCCGACCGTCCACAATATTCTCAACGACTGAGAAAGTTAAACAAGAAGCAACGGCAATGGCTTTACCACTTAGTAGCAGCACGCAACAACCATCTCAATCGCAGGGTACACCAGATCCATACTTGACTCATTTTGATCCACGATCGGAACATCAAAGTTACAAGCAAGCCCAAATGAGACTCGAGGAAGTACACAAAGAGAAAGTAACAAAAGTAAGCAAAAGCATTTTTGATAATGTTTACATTTCAATTTTTATGTACATTATGATGTTAAGTGCAACGTAGTATATGTACCTTGTTATGTGCATATTATTTGGGCAAAAAATATTATAGCCCGGAACATTGGTGTCGCAATCTTTGTGCTACAACGTTTTCAGGTGATGAAGGATTGGAGTGACCTAGAAGAAAGGTATCAAGATATAAGAGCCCATGATCCAGTTGCCGCTGATGCTTTCAAACGATGGATGACGGCACGATTCCAAGAAACTGTTGCGGCCTTGGAAGAAAGTGGTGCCGCGGAAAAACATCAACTCAGTGCGATGCATCAACAACGAGTGCAAGTATGCATTATTAAAATATATTAAATAAAATATATATATATTTTAAGAATCTCTAAAACATATTTTCATTTGTAATTGTAGGAAGCTGTTAAGCAGAGAAATGAAGAAGCTATGTCCTGTTACACTGCTGCTTTGAACGAAACCCCACCAAATGTTAGTTTGTTGAATTTGTTTTTTTTTATTTTTATTTATTTTTTTTTTGTTTTATTTTTATTATTATCGTTCTTTATCATCATTTATTTCCAAATATTAATGTTCCATTTTATATTCCATTTCTTAGACTCATCGCATTCAAAAGTGTTTACAAAAGTTACTCAGAGCTCTTCACAAGGACCGACACCATACAATTGCTCATTACAAGCATTTACTTGATAGCAGTCTGGAACAAGCTCAACGTGAAAAACCAGCGACGTTGGAACATCTTGCAGAAATTGATAGAATCACAAATCAAAGCTTATTGATGTTGGAACGGTAACGTATTGATAATTTATTTATACACTATTAGCAAAATTCACAATTTTTATTATATTTATCCGTTGCAATTATATTGCTGTTTTTTTGTTGATATTTTATTTATTTTTTTTCTTCTTTTTTATTTTTTTCCATCGACCTTCAGATATCCTGATCTGAGTGCAAAAATCGGGCGTCTAATGGATGACTATGTTTTGGCGCTTCGCAGTAAGGATGAAACACCAGGTTTATTGTTAGCAATGACTCGAGAGGCAGAAGCAGCTATTTTAGACAAGTATCAAGCGGACGTGGCTAGCAAACAAGAAGGTATATAAAAATTTTCTTCTATAAAAAGTCTATAAATCTATATATATATCTTCTATAAATCCCTATTCTTCAAAAGATTATGAATTTTTTTTATTAAAATAAAATTAAAAAAAAAGATATATATATATATAATATACGTTATTTTTATATAGAAAAAGAACATCAAAAGCAATTAGAACGTGCACGCAAGGAACAACGTAAGGTTGAACGTGGTGAATTACGTACGGAACAAGAACAACATGAAGAAAATGATTCAGTGAATGACAATAAGTATTCTTCTCAGCAATCTGAACAACAGCCGGTACCCGTTGCAACGCTGCATAATGAAGGAGTGGTTAGAGCAGCACACAGTATGACTCATGATGTCTCACATTCTGAACCGGTTAGAACAGTTATACAGTTATATTAGAACCATTAGTAATATTAACTCAGTAGTTTTCTTTTTACATATTTTAATATTTACAGTTAGAAAAATAAAAGAAATAAAATAAAATAAATGATGCTAAAAAATTATGCTTAAAATAATGCTGGAGTAGAATTTTCTTTTGTTTAAATTTTTATTTGATCTTTAATGATATCAGCTAATTGCTCACTATTTGTTTATTTTATTATTTACAGTCAACAAAGAAGTATTGCGAAACTATTCATTTTTAAGTCTTTTTTTAATTATTTTTTTTTATTGTTATAAATATAACAAATACGATGATATGAACATGTTAATATTGTATTATCATCTTACAGGGTTATTCAGTAAGACGTGAACTATATCACAAGGAGAGCCGATCGGTTTACTTTACGCTAGCATTTGCTGGAATCGCACTTATGGCAGCTGCAATAGTAGGTGTTGCTGTATTCAAAAGACGTAATGCGAGAAGCCCACACAGCCAGGTATATTAATAATTAAACGTATATTTATAAAGTTAACTATTAACATATTTATTATTTAAGTATATATCTAAATAATATGAATAATTAAAATGTTTAATAGGGTTTCATTGAAGTTGATCAAGCTGCTACACCAGAAGAACGACATGTAGCTAACATGCAAATCAATGGTTACGAAAATCCAACATATAAATATTTCGAGGTGAAGGAATAATTGAATAATTTTTAAATCTGAACGATCATCAGTCGCTTTAAAAGCTGGTCTCGAATAGCTTTTCTCCCCATATTATTATTATTATTTCCGTTTACGAATGTCATTATTTTCGTTATTATTTTGATTTAATTCTAAAGAGCATGAGGAACCTCCGAAGATCCGATTATTTATGTGCTTCTTACATTGTGCTTGCACAGCTAAAAATACTCATTAATCTGAAACTAATAGCTGTCATAAGTCGTAATAGGAAGTGATGTTAATTCACATAATGTATAGCACAAGAAAATCCAATGATAATGTATTATGTTGGACCCCATCGATAGTGTTATATGAAATTATCATTAAGGAAACTTAATACGCGGGAATTAATACTATAACAATGTGTCGAACCACGAAGACTATCTAGATAAGTATACTCGATTCAGTGTATCCACATAATGATACGGTTTAAATGTATGTGCCATATGGAAATGGATGTCAGATATTAGATGCCTATCATCATCACTTCGGAAGTTCCTCCTGCTTTTATTATTGTTTTTGTTTTGCCATCATTTTAATATTGAAGAGAAACTCAGGAAGGAGCATTGCTCATGATAAAAGAGTTAACGCATTAGTTCTATCATCTTGATGTTCCTTCAACTTTATTAACTTATTAACTTTTCATCTTAAAGGATTGCGAAAAGTACCCGATTGAAAAGAAGTCATATATATATATATATATATATATATATATATATATATATATATATATATATATATATATATACATATATACATATATATATATCTATTTATTGTTACAACAATAGATCTTAATCACCACAAAGCAACATCTTTTCCGTAATCAATTATGCATTTGGTAAAGTGCATCTAATTGTGCACTTAACTTCTATATTTTTTCGCTCTGATATTTTTAGAGATAGAGAATGGCAATAATAAGATTCTACGATTCAGTCCTTTTGAATAATACTAATAATAATAAATAACAATAATACTAATAATAATAATAATAATAATAATAATAATAATAATAATTAATAATAATAATAAATAATAATAAATAATAATAATAAATAATAATAATAAATATATATCAGTATCTCAAAGTCGTAGCAATTCCGCATTGGGTGATATAAGCTTCGATTAAAGTTAATCGCTTATGATTGTGCAAGAGTTAAATGTACGCTACAGAGAAACTCTCAAAATATCAGAACATCAATCGATGCACATAAAAAGTTCGTGATATTTTTTTCTTCGTCCCCGTTCGATTCCCACTGCCTGGTTTTTTAGTGAATCTTTCTGTACTTAACGTTTACTTAGTCTATAAAAAAAAAAAAAAAAAAAAAAAGAAATGGTAATACTTAAGAGATTGAGAATCGCTAACATATTTAATGATAACGAGAAATAAGATATTATTCTATATCATTCCACGAAAGTCGAGTACTTTTTTCGGGAGGCCGTCGGTTGTGTTCGTTGGTTGCACGGAAAATATTCGATAGTTTCGTTCGACGTCGCCGAGGGGGCTTCTCTTGTTTTTATTTTTCCCTTTAAACGAGTTTAAGCATCGAAGACGTCACGTCGATGCTATCGAATAAGAGGAACAGTTTACCGGAGTTTTTTGAGTGGCTTTAATACCTCTGACTATGGCTTTGGAAAAAGAGACGGCTGTTAAAGCAAGAATATTCCTTTCTGTTTTCGAATTGTTCATACAATAACTAATATCTTAGGGTATTATTAATTATATTATATGATGATAATATATTACACGTTTAATGCTTATATATATTTGTACATGGTCAAAAAGGGGGTAGCCCACACTTTAGCCAGGGTCGCGTGGGAAACTTTTTTAATTATATATTTGTAAAATTCCATTTTTAAATGCACTTTATTAAAAGCTCTTCGGTTAAAAGAACGTTTTTTTTTTTGTATTTTTCTTTTTTTGTATTTTTTTTTTCTTTTTTTTAATGAACGATCCGTATTTAAATTTTATCCATTCAAGGCAATTATATATTTTCTCTAAATTATTTAAATGTCATCTTACTATTTTTATATAACCAAATGCAAATAACATTTAAAAGAAAAGATAATACAATCGATTGTTATATGTATTATTCACAGATATTATTATTTTTTATTAGATCGATCATCTTAAGATAAATTAACAGCGAGATCATCGAGTTATCGATAAAAAAAAAAAAAAATATTAATTTTGCAATAGAATTATTTCTATTGACAATAGCTTAACATCGAAGATGTCAAAAGATAATCGAGATCTCTGTTCTCTGATGTCTAAAAGACGAGAGAAAAATTTGCAAGATTAATATGGAAAAAAAGAAAAGAAAAAAAAGAATCAGATATAACTTAATAATCTTTGCTGGAATACTTAAGATGATTGCTCTTAAACGTACATTAATTACATTATATATATTTATATATTTATAAGTTTGTTTTATTGTATTTTTACACATGTTTTTTGAAATAATTTAAACAATTTATTGCATGCTAAGATGATTGTTGAAAACTGAAAAAGAAATCGTTTAAGCGCACTCGCAGAAGCAGCTGCCTTCCTATATTAACTATTTATAAATTTTGTTTATCTCGCGCAACTCCGGTCGAAGGGTGAGCAAATAAAATACACACAGATACACATACATACATTGCTGAATGTTACAAATATTTTAGATATATTAAGACGATAACAATTACCACGTGAGTGTATTACAAATACTACAAATAGCATCAGTGAATTAATGATAATATAGAAATATATATATATAAATATATATATATATATATATATACATATGTATGTATGCAACGTGTGTTCGATTTCACGCGCATAAGCGCGTATGTTTGACAGATGTGTGAGTGATATATAGATTATATATATATGTATATACACACTATGCATATACATGTATACATATAAAATTAATATACATTGTGTACCTATAGCAAGTAGTCATTAAAATATTGAAACATCGCATATATAAACCTAACTCGATGAATATTCGCAGATAATGACGAACACAAATTTAACAAATAAGATTTGTTAAATATGATTTTTATTTAATTATATATTTATATCGTTGCGTTGTTGTTCTTCGCATATTATTTTATCGAAGATTAATTTAAGTGATAAATCATTAAATTGCTTAGTTAATCTATCGTTAGTTTTATTGTAAGTTGATGTTACAAATAGTAATATAAATGAATTATAAATATCAGTATTAGCAATCAGAGCATATCAGTTTGGCAAATTAATTTGATAATAGTTATCGGTATGTATTTCATAATACTGCGAATCTACATCGAGTTATCCTATATAAGTTTAAGAATTGATTTTTGTAAAGAGGTGATAAGTACATATATCAAGATAATTGACTTAGCTTAAATGCCATGTGAGATGTGAGGGAAAGGAAGAAAATATACGTCCTTTAAATAGCAGTTCGGATTTAGAAGTTAAAGGAAGAGAATAATAATGGAGCTAGACTTTATTTTTACAATTTTTTCAGTTTTTCTCGTACAATGTGTATCAATCTGTAATCATGATCCTGTATTATATCAGTATATAATGCGCAGTGTGACACTCGTATAAAACAATATACACATAAGCAGAAATTACTTTTCTGCTAATAATTCCTAGCTTTCCTAAAACTCTCTATCTTTATCTAACAAAAAATTGCACCAAGTTTCAAAACCATACACTTAATAAATGCCAAAACATTGAAATGAATGCTCCTTCAAGGTCGTTGCTGTGGCTCGTAAGATGATTGTACAGGATAGTGGATTATTAGATAACGTTAATGCATATATCACAGTCAAAAAGTCTATTGCCTATGGATCGTTTTTGCTTGTGATTTTTATTTTTATCAATGTTGAGATAAAACTAAGGAATACACATATTTGTCTTTAAGTTTTGAAGGATAGTATAAAGAAGAAAAGAAAAAAGAAAGAAACCAAAAAAGAGAAAGCACTTAAAAAAAAAAAGAAAAAAAAAAGAAAAAAAGAAAACAAAGTAACTGTTAAAATTAATGATTTTCTTATGAGTTCTTAGTATACAGTATATACTAAGATCTGCGCATCCATCCAAGCTAACCTTAAACCGATAAAAATAACGGATAAATGAGAATACATAATATTAGAATATCACTCTTACATAGAAGCATTATAATTTTTAAATTAAACATCTCCACGATCAGTCCCCCGCCTTCGCCTAAATTATTAGTAGAATATATTATCGTTTAAGAATAATTACCTCTTCTCCCACCCTATCCACCCACTCACTCACCCCCTTTTTCCCCCCTTCACACGCATTTCTCCTCACCGCTCACAAGTTTTAATGCATTATTACACCTATCCCCTCAATCCCCATGAAAGAACATTGTGTTTGTGGATATATGTAATTTTACTTATCAATAAATAAATTTAAAAAATTACATATCGCATTAAATCCGTTCTGATACAAACGTTTCTGTTAAATCGAAGGAATGATCTTTAATTAAATATTTGAACTTGACACGAATATTTCACATCCTATTTAATAACTATAAAAAAACATTCAAATTTTTCCAAAAAAAATATATATATATATATATATATATATATATCAAGATCATAAAAAAAAGCACAAACGAATTCGTAAGAAATAACGTTTTCCACATTGGATTAATAACAATTCAAATTATCTAACATTTTACCGCGTTAATTTGTATTAGTTAAAACGATCTGTCATCAGATGTCGCCTCGATAGAATAAATCTCGAAGGTGTAATAATCACTCTTAACTATCAAACCAATGACGAAATAGTATCATCGATGGTGCCGCCTCAGTGAAACTTCGTTCGTCGTCGTAAGCGCCTCGTATTGGCACGGTGGCGTACGAAGCGAAGCTTCGGCAAAGTGTCCGTAAGAACGTTAACGATTGCCGAACGGAGCAGTCGCGTTCGCGCGTACCTAATATACGCGCGTTGGGATTACGTTCTGTTGTTGTCAAAAAGAAAGAAAGGCAGGAGAAGGAAAGACGAGAGATATGTATTCTCCCGTCATTTATCGTCGTAGGAAGTTCGACAGCGGGAAGATGTCGTCGGGTAGATAATTGTTGTCCGAGAGCAGCCTACGGGCGAGTCTCTTGAAGGCTTCAGAAGGAAACGAAATAAAGAAAAGGAGAGAGAGAGAGAGAGAGAGAGAGAGAAAGAGAGAAACTTGGCACTACGTTCAAAAATACATACATACACACATATGTATATATATGATAGAGAAAAAGAGAGAGAGAGATATATAGGTAGAGAAAAAGAGAGAGAGATATATAGATAGAGAGTATACACGAGCATATATATTATATCGTATTTTGCATCCTTCTCTTTCTCTCTCTTGCGGGATTTGTCCCTCCTCTATCGCCAACGTCGACACACCGTCAGAACGTTTATCATCATTCGTCGTCGTTGTAATCGTCAATGTTTTCTAACCGTAATCACGGAAACGGTGGTGGTAATTAAAAAGGAGAAGAAGAAGAAGAAAAGGGAGAAATAGAAAAAGATTGGAAGGAAAAGGTGACAGTGCCAACGTCGTTGGAATTTATGGTGCGCCTGCGAGAGAGAAAGACTGTAAAGTGAAAGAAAGATATATATATATATATATATAGAGGAGAGAGAGAGAGAGAGAGAGAGAGAGAGAGAGAGAGAGACAGAGGTAACGCGAGCTACGAGAGAGATTATTGGAGATAGAAAGAGAGAGAGAGAGAGAGAGAGGGATATATCGGTGACGGGTGTGTGTGCGCGAGAAACGAGACATACGGTGCTAGAGAAGGCACGAAGAAGAAATCTATCGGTACTCTTGTGCTTTAGTAAACGTCGTTTCGATCGTCGTAGTTGGTTGATGGTAGTGGTTGTGCGGTGACAGTTCTCCCGTTGTCCCGTTCAAAAAAAAGTGTTCTCATGTGTATGTCATCTCCGTTAAGGCTTAAGAAAGATAGAATATAAGAGAAAGAATCAACAATAACAATAACAATAACAATAACAAAAAGAAGAGGAGAAAAGAAAAAATGCCGGGCCTAATCGCGGTGAGCGAGTTCGTCGAGGAAACGAGGGAGGATTATAACTCGCCCACTACGTCGACCTTCGTTTCTCGAATGCCACAATGCAGGCAGACCATCACATCCCTCGAAGAGGTAAGACAACCTTTTCTTTATCTTTCTCTCTCTTTCTCTTTCTCTTTCTCTTTCTGTCTTTTTCTTTCCTTTTTTTTTTTATTGGTTATTCCTTTTCTTTTCTTTTTTCTTTTTTTCTTTTTTTCTTTTTGGCGATGTTCTCTTTCCTCCCCCCCCTTCTTTCCTTTGTTTTTCCTCTTTTTGTCTTTATTGTTTTGTCGTTCCTTTTTATTTTCCTTCGGCCGTTATTAATCCTTTTTTACTTTTTTTTTTCTTTTTTGCTTTTTTTCTCTACCTGCTCGTTTCTTAAAATCTTTCGACCTTTCCTTTCTCTGCATATATATATGTATGTATGTATGTATAATATATGTATGTATCTCATACATGCTAATACAATTCTTATTCTAACCTTACTTTTATTTATTTATTTATTTTTTTTTTTTTATTTATTTATTTTTTTATTTATTTATTACCGACATTTAGCATTTATAAATATCATAAGTCTTGTTAAAATCGCCTTAATTTTTATATATATATATATATAATTATATATTTATATATTTATATATCAAAGAAATCGATGAAATCTTCGTGACATTCTATATTACGTACTTATATATTTATTAGATTTAAACGATACTATACACGGTAATACGATTAGAAACGTAATCCGCGATAATTCTTGATGCATCAAAACCAAAACGGAATATTGTAATAGTATCTTCTGTGCTTCTGAACATATCTTGCTGGAAGAGGTGGGGATGGAGGAGGGCCGGCATATGTTATACGCGGTAAACATTAGAAATATTAGAATTTCGCGCGCTGCTACTACAATACGACTTATTACGTATTCTTCAAACGTGCATTGCGAATCACAGTTAAACATAGGATAGAGAAAGGTCGATCTTTTATTTCAAGTATATATATATATATATATATATTTCTTTTTTTTTCTATTATGTACGAATACAGAAGAAAAAGAGAGAGAGAATATTGGTAAAACTTCCTCTCTCTCTCTTTCTCTCTCTCTCTCTCTTTCGAAAGAGAATTCGATAACTCGTCCGCCGGGATTTAAATCTCTTAACAACTTTCGCTGTATATATTTATTCCCTATCTCTCTCTTTCTTTATACACACATATATATATACATACAACACGGGCACATTCTTTCATCTTTTTTATGACAACATTTGCTCTCTCTCTCTTTCTCTCTCCTTCTCTTCTTCCTTCCTATCGACTTTGGCGCCCGCACTGCTTCTTTATTTCTATTTGTAATGGTGCGACGTTGTAAGAACGAGAGAGACAGATTATCCAAGTGGAAGAGTGAGGGAGAGAGAGAGAGAGAGAGAGAGAGAGAGAGAGAGAGAGAGAGAGAGAGAGAGAGAGAGAGAAGGTAGGTGATTGGCGTTGCCGCATGCGTGCTCGTAGCGCGTGGGCGTTTCGCAGATGCATACGGAAGATGCAGCCACCTTTCGGGACTATTCGGCCATCTCCACGTTGGATTCGGCTCTCATCGAGGTCGTGCTCGTATCCTTGCGCGCCGCTGCTACCGCCATCCTTGCGCGCGCCCTCGACCGGCATTGCTGTTTTTTTTTTTTCTTTCTGTCTCTTTTGTCAAACACACGATACAAGGAAATAATGCGTTTTCCGGTTTCTACCTGCTTTTATTTATTCGTTTATTTATTTGTTTTCCTTTGTTCCTTTCTGTTTTTTTTTCTCCTAATACATTCAATGCATTTATTATGTGTATTACAATTGATTATAATGTGTATAGTCACTATTACATTTCAGGTATATATATATACACGCATACAAAGTACGAGTGATTTATTTGATTGGAATATTATTATAATTTTTGTTATCAGTAGTTTTTTTTTTATGGAGTAGGAAATATCCAATTATCTTTTTCTTTTTTCCTTTTTTTTTTTTGTGTTGGTAGTTTTTACGAAGTAGTATCGAATTCTTTTATTACGAAGAGTATTGAGTTTTTTTATTGATCATCCTCGTGTTGGTTGGCTACGAAGTTGTAATCAAATTAACATAACCTTCATTATGGGTGTATCAATGTTCTCTTCTTGTTTCTAAAGATGTAGAAAACGTTTTATAAATTCTTTTTTTTTTCTTTTTTTTCTTTTTATACGAAGAGTTTTAATTTTACTTCCTGATAATCCTATTAGTTCATTACAAATTCGTTTAATATTTCAGTTCAATATTTAGTCGATGCTGATCGGCTTCTTTTTAATCACTTTTATCATCCATTTTTCATCACAATTTCATTTATATCATTTCTTTTTTATTTATCTTTTTTATATATACTTTTGAAGAGTAGTGATTTTACATTCGCGTAATCCTATTGATCAATTACAAACTCCTTTGATTGGTTAGATATATAAAGCCGTTTTATTGGTTTACACTAATAAGTTTTAACCATACATAGATCGATGATGTTTTTCTATGTATTTCTAATGGAATGAAATGTTATATCGTCCATATTGTTTTTATTTATTTCGCTTTCTTTTTTGTTGTTTATGACCGGTACTGATTTTTACTTTCGAATAATCCTATAGGTTAATTACGAACTCTTTTGATTGGTTAGATAGATAAAATCGTCTTATTGGTTGGCATTGATCAGCTTTTATCTACTTAACATTCGGAGTTGATGATGACATCTTCACACGTCGTTGACATTCAACATAGGTACGCTTATTAATATTTTAATCTTCGTATCTTCAACGGAATATACATAGGATCTCCTCAACGCTCTAGCATGTCGAGTCGTAAACTAATAAATAGACTGTGACTTCCTGCGAAACTAGTCATCGTTGTATCTATCTATGTACATACATTATATGTACATATATGTTTGTACATTACAGCGATATGATAGCTAACCGATGATAGTGTATATGTGGTACGTTTGTGTTTGTGTGCGTATACGATTATCAGAGTCAAGAAATCAACCGTCGATTTCGTTTTAATCTAACGAAAGTGATATACTATAAATTTTTGAAATAAAAATACGCGGGAATTCAAATTACATAATCGGAAATTATTAAAAAAAAAAAAAAAATTCAAAAGAAACGACTGTAATTAAATTATTTCAAATTTCTTATCTTTCGATAGACCGATCAAAATCTCCTTAGAAATATGATTTCGGTATAGAAATTCGACTATTGTAAGACGAAATTGAGAGATAAGGTAAACTATTATTATAACGAAAAAAAAAAAAAAGAAATCCGGATCACGTGACCGTCGTTCGTACATACGTGCTTCTGATTCGCTGACGAATAAGAAAAGTTAGAAAAATATATCGTGTCGTCGTCGTTTTCTTACGTATAATTGATGATACAAGGATAACCGTGAAAAATAAGAGAAACGTTTGTTGAGAAAATCACAATTGAGATGCGTCAACATTCTTCTATACGATATTGAATCGTTTATTCGAACTCTAGTCAATCTTATTTTTCTTCATCGTTCTCAATGTTTGCAATGCACTCGTTAAATAGAAACCATGCTCGATGAGACGACATCACTGTTTCTTCGTTTCTCTTTTATTTTATTTCATTGCATAGCTAGCTTTGTGTGTGTGTATGTATACATATATGTATGTATGCATGGATATGTACATATGTACATACTTATATATATATTCATATACATGTATTCAGAGGAACATATCAGCATTCATATATATATATGTGTGTATATATATACATATATATATATGTATGTATATATATAGTACATAAAAGATTCTTTCGACCAATCAAAGAGAAGTATATGTTGCAAATATACATACCTGCCGCCATCTTTTATCTTGAATCTTTCCAATGTTTTTACATATGTACGCATATCTACTATGGTGTTTCCTGAACTCAAGGAATTTCTTATCGTTTGATCATCAAACGATAGAACGCGGTTACTCCCTCTGGAATTATTGATTTTTTTTTTTTTTTACATTTCTTATACACACATATATATATATATATATAATCTTATGTATATATAATACTTGTAATCGTATACGTCCTATTTGTTTTCAATAGGAAATTCAAAGCTCTCATGATATCTCAAATTTGTATAAATATAATTATTTTTCTTTTTTATGTGGAATCTAGTTCTTTCGATCTATACATATCATATTCATGTTTAAATATTTTAAAGAAAAAAAAAAAAAAAAAAAAAAAAAAAAAAAAAAAAAAAAAAGATATATATATATATAAATTCAATATTTTTACCAATGAGAAGTAAAGTCGAGGCTTAGAAAAATCCACGTCATATTTATAAGGGAATAGTGGGAATGAGAATGATCCGATGATGAAAGGGATAGAAAAAAAAAGATAAGGAAAAAAAATCGCTCGAATATGTCGTCGTCGCCGTTTAAAAAAAGGCTGCCGGCCGAAGAAAACCACGACAGCATTAGGCCGTATAATTCTCGACGAATGTCGCAACACTTTCGCTTTTCCTTCTATTTATGTTCTTCTTCTTTTCTTCTTTTTTTTTTTTTTTTTTTTTTTTTTTCTTTTTTTTTTTCTCGCGTTAGCTCGATTGTTCACCACGAGTGTCGGTGTACCATGAAGTGTTTCACTCTCGCTGTTTTATGTTGCAGCAGAGTTTGCAGCTCGTAATGTGTGTTCTTTTTGTCGCTTCGTTCGAACGCTTGATAACGTTGACTTTTGATCCAACGCGTCGAACTGCAAACGATTGATTATTATTTATTTAATCAGTCTTCTTCTATTGAAGAAATATCTCCCTTTTTCGCTGTATACTTTTCTTATAGAGAAACATATGGAAGATGAAAAAATTTACATTACTATTGAAATATATATATATTTTTTTATATTTATTTAATTATTTATTTATCGTTTTCTTTTTTTTTTATTCATCGAACAATTTTATTTGATAGGATAAAATTATCGTCGGCCATATTGAAACAAAATGGCTTCTTTCGGTTCTTAATATATTTTTATATGTTATTATTCTAAGTACATATATATATATATATATCTTTTGATATTTATTGAGTAATTGTTCATTTGAAAAATAGGTTAACAGAATTGTTGGTCGGCCATTTTGTAACAAAATAATTGATTTATCAAAGTTTATCTTCTTTCTGATATACATAAATATTTCAAATAACTTTAATTAAAATATATTTAACGTAACTAAATTATCGTCGGCCATTGAAAACATAATGACAGACTCCGAAGTTAAAAATTTCTCAAGAACACTGTATTAAAAAAAAAAAAAAAAAAAAAAAAAAAAAAAATCGTAAAATCTAAAGTCACCTCGTCGTGAACGTATAATTAAAAACACGTCGGGGATGCCGTGATATTTTGATGTGGTGATTTTCCGTTCAGGCAAGCTGCATTGAACCATCGATCGGCAACGGCATGAAAATTCCATTACACATGACAATTATGGTATCGCTTGATAATATTATGAAGCATTTTATGATCGCGTTTAATTTTATATAAGATATTTACAACAGCCTAGAACGATAAGTTCTTTCGATGTGGGCCACCGGTGGAGCACGAGACATACAACGTGTTAATAAGCAATTTTTGTTCCCTCGAGAGCAAGGTAAACGTTCGATGGTGTAGTGTGAACGTTCGTAGGAGGATCTCGTTCAAGTGGATCACCAATACTAACTTCGGATTCGATTTCTTAACGTACTATATACATATATAAATATACACGCATATAGTATTTTATATATATATATATATATATATATATATATATATATATATACATACAGGTATAGGTATATACTAGTTCCCGGACACGCGATCTTTTTCCAACGTTTATGGCTTCCAGTTGGTGTCAAATTTATTCGATTGGGAACTCTTTCAATCAACTTCGGACGATCAATCGAAGTGGATCGGATGTATATCAAATGATATGTATTACATTCCGCATTGAAATTTCATTGGTTTCATGAAAATTAAATCGCAAAATTTATTTAATACGTTCTTCTTTATGATATTATTTATTATTACACATTAATATATAAAATTTGTATTCCATTTTCTATTATTTATTATCGATGAAGAAATATGTTAATGATCTTAGAAGTGTTGTGTTACATTTACATATATACATACATATTATACATGCATACATGCATACATACGTTTAAGCATCTCTCTTGAAACAACTCGCGAGTTAAATTATCTTCTTTTCTTCTTGGAATTCTTCCTCTTTTCGACCGACATAGTCAGCTCCGTAAAAAGAGATAATTGAACGTTACGAAAGCTCTTTGGCGTCTTGAAACGATGCCTGCAAGGAAAGCCGACCGTCTATGGGCATTCTTCTAAAGCCCAGTAGCAACAGAGCAGCTGGTTGGCATCGTTGTTGATGCTGCACTAGTGCACTGGCGTTGTTACGAGACCACAAAGAACTATGCACCTTTCCTATTGCACGCTTTTCACAATTTTCTGACTCGCGCCAGCCAGAGGAGAGAGAGAAAAAGAGAGAGAGAGAGAAACTCGAAAAAAAAATTCTATTCCACGAATAAATACGAGTAAAGAAAAAAAAAGGGTGAAAAAAGAAGAAAAGAACAGATCGACCGACAAGCATTCCCTTGTTCATGGAATTCTTTGTTTTTCTCTCTCTCTTTTTTTTTTTTTTGCTCCATTAAATCTTGTTCAAGCATGAAATACTTTCTTTCGGCAATATAATTATTGATTCGAGTAATATGATTTGAAGATAGGGAGAAACTAAGAATTTCTTTTTGTCATTTTTATATCCTTTTTATTATTAATATTATATCATGAGATAAAGAAAATCCAATTTCACGAAAAATCATCCATTTTTTCTCTCTCTCTCTCTCTTTCTCTTTCTCTTTTCTTTTTTTCGATAATATTTTCTTTTCATTTTTTTCTTTATCTTTTTTCTTTTTTCTTTTTCTTTTTTCTTTTCTTTTTTTCTTTTTTTTTTAGAATAAACTATCGAACTAATTTGAATATCGCGGGTTTTATTATTGATTTCAACAATATAATAGAAATCAATTTGGAAAAAAAAAGAAGAAAACAAGAAAAAAATTGTATTATTAAAATTTTCTCTTGTTTCGTGATTTTGAATAATTTACTACTAATGTAAGCCAATTTGAATTACGCGGGTGATGCGAAAAGGTGATTAAGTAACATGAATATAGTCACGTTCCCAAGTTTACTTGGAACGAATTTAACCTAATAACCTAGCCGTGGAGAAGTCGACATGACACAGCTTTCGAAGTCCTCTGTAAAATACAAACACATATTGACACATACGACGACATAGAGAGAGAAAATTTGTCGAGGATTTTAACAAACTTCGAAATAGTAGGTTAATTATACTATAACCTAATTTTTGTTCGTTGACAACAAGAAATAAATAATAACAAATGAATAATTTAATTTATACAATTATAATTATACTTTATTTATTATTATTATTATTATTATTATTATTATTATTATTATTATTATTATTATTATTATTATTATTATTATTATTATTATTATTATTTTTATTATTATTATTATTATGCTCTAAAAAAAAAAATTATACTAAAGTATAAATATAATAATAATATCATTTTAACTTTTACTTAAAAAAAGAAAAAAGAAAAAAACTACGAAAAACTTTTAATATTATAAGCCATTAATTTTATACTTTTAATATTATAAGTCATTAATATTCTTTTAATATAAATCGCTTTCTTTTTATTTATACTATACTTTATAGTGCACTATAATTATATGATACTAATATATAGTAATCGTATAATAATCGTATCGTTTTAACTTGTAATTGAAAAATCAAGTAAAATAAAATAAAATAAAAAATAAAAAGATAAACAATGTTTTCTCTCCGATTGATGAAAGAAACAAGTCGAACTTAAAAAATAAAAAAAGAAAAAAAAAAGAAATTTACATATATATTAAATGATAAAAATTATAGGTTAGGAAACCTTGGTAGCTAAAATTGTTGTTTGCAACGATGCTACTATAAAAGGATTATATTAAATTTTATCATAAACGCGCTTATCTACATGCATATATACATATTTAAATTTCTTACTTTCTCATTCATAATTACATTGATAAGAACGATGTTAAACAAAAGTTTCCAGATGTCGAATACCAAAGTATAAACTTCTATAATACCACCCCTCTTACTCTTTCATTCCTTTGGTCGACTTACTCTTGACCCTGATTGTCTTTATGTCACCCACTTTCCTATTTTAGAATTGGCTCTTACAACATCACAAACCGTCTTATGAGAATTCGCTCTTAGGTTGAGTTATTCTTGAACGAGACAAGATCTATTCCTGGTGTTTCTTCTTTGGTCCTCCCAAGGAGAGAGAGAAAGAGAGAGAGAGAGAGATTTCACGATACGCAAGAGACAAGTATATATGCATTACAGCAGCATCGATCGTTCAGGTTAATATTTTTTCAGTAAGGTGATACACGCTCACTAGACGTGAACTCTTATTTTCTTGTTCTGCTCGAAAAACTTTATGATACAAGAAGGGAGGATCGATCATCTCTCTTTCAGGGGTAACTCACCCTCGTTTAACACCTTCTTCCTCTTCTTCTTTCTTGTTTATCAAGAGTGTGCGCGTGCGTGTGTGTGTGTGTGTGTGTGAGAGTGGGAGAGAGAGAGAGAGGGAGGGAGAGGGAGAGGGAAAAAGTGAAAGGGAAGGATGGAATATTGAATTTTATAAAAATAAAAGTTACCATAGTTGAAAGATTACGATAAAGTATTGGTCGTGATGGTTGGTGAATTGTGCTTTGTGGATAAAGAAATTTTGGAATGTTTTGGTTCAAAACTCGTAGCGTAAGTGTTTTTTCCTTATGGACTTTATAACACATGCAAATAAAAATTGTAATTTTAAAAGAAAACTGACTGATATCGAAATAGTGTTTTTGTTTGTGTAAGTGTGTGTGTGTGTGTGTGTGTGTGTGTGTTCTTTAATAAAATAAATCACATTTTATATCGTCATGGTAAAAATTTACTTGGCAATTATCAAGTTAATTGTATTTAAAATATGTGTAAAAACGAAATTTCTCATTTTCGATCGATAATGTAAACATAATAAGATTTATTCTCTTTGTTTTTCTCTTTCTTTGTTCTCATTTTCTTTTAAAATAAGAAAATATTTATTTATTTTAACCAAAAGATAATAAGAAATTTCCCAATAAATTTTTCTTAATATACACTTTAAATTAAAAGTTTTCATACAGTTATCGTAAAACGAGAAGGAGAGGGAAAGGAGAATGAATCAGTGATAAATCGTTTATAGCGTTATCTTAACAAGTTTGACGATTATGTTACAGACTCTGGACTTCGACAGAGACGGTCTTACCAAACTAAAGAAGGCCATCAAGGCAATTCACAATTCTGGAAACGGTAAGGATTACAGTCTTAAAAATAATTCAAATAATTCAAATAAAAGCGCTAACTCAATTTATTATTCTCAAATATCTTCCTTCGTTTATTAATTTCTATGAACAACGATAATAAAGCGATACGATTGTTTTTTAGAATACGGAAAATTTTCGATCTTAAAGAAAAATTCTAATTAATTAAATAAATAAATAAAAATAAAAGAAAACTATAAATCCTCAAATAAAAACGTAAAATTGAATTTATTCATTTCGAATATCGCGCTCCGCTTATTAATTTCTATGAATGACGGTAAGGCGCTTCGATCGCTTTTTTTTTTTTTTATTTATTCACCGATGCCCTACGTAACTCCGGCAATATTTGCTATTCAAAGTAAGTCGAGCTTGGTACGTTGTTGGTTGGGTAAGGCACACTACACGGGGTGTGGTAGACTTTTAGTGTGTCACCATGTTCCGCGGTGGTACTGAAAATCGATATATCGTATTATATGTACATATATGTACACAATAAATACACACGCACACGCGCACGCGCATGCACACATAAGAATATTATACGGAAGTTGAATCTGTATAAACGATCCATGCGTTTTATTATGTATACTATATAAATACAAATATATATAGATCAAAGGAGGCACTCATTCGTTGAAATAAAACATGGAGTGCGCGTGGGATGTATATATGTATGAAAGATGACATATAAATTGTGACGCCTTATCCCATCTGAACATATTTGTCACAATGACGCAGATTAAAGCTCGAAAAAGAATCGAACATGTCGAATGGTATATATATTCAGCTAATCGTGTTTTACGTATAGTTTTGTGTTTATTTGTATGTATATATATATATGTATGTATGTATGTATGTATGTATGTATGCATATATATATATTTCTAAAAAGAAGATATCATTTCCGTTTATGCTTTTAATCAAATCGATCGAAAACTAACGTAAAGTACGTTTGATTATGTAGGATATTTTAAATGTTACTTAAATATCGGTATTAAGTGTTTTAATAGCTACTTAAGCAATTCAAGCACTCGAGAGCAAGAGCTTTCGCGTCTCTTGGACACGAAGTAGAGACTATAAAAGGGTCGAAAATCGTTATTCTATCTCCCTCTCTCTCTCTCTTTCTCTCTCTCTCTCTCTCTCTCTCTCTCTCTCTCTCTCTCTCTCTCTCTCTCTCTCTCTCTCTCTCTCGCTCTCTCGCTTCCTCACTCTTGTAGCACCATTACAGGTATGTCCTCATCTACTTTTTGTTTGAAAACGATTTGAGAACATTTACCTTACTTGTTGTGTAAATACATGTATATTTCAATTATTATATATATATATATATATATATATATATACATATAATTTTGTATGTGATCATTATAATTATGGAGTAAATAATATTAGGTTAGGTTAAGTGTAACATTAGATTTTTGAGACCTCGCTAAATTATTAATGTATTTTATATATTAATATATATTGTATTATTAAAAATCTAATCTAAAAATATTTACTGGATAATTATATTATATTTGTCTATAGGTATAACTTTTTTTTATTTTGTTGTTTTGATTTAATATTATAATGTTAGATTTTTTTTATATTATTATTAGTATTATAATATTAGATTGATATTAATAATAATATTAGTAGTATAGTAAAAGTATATATATACATATATATATATATATATATATATTATGGTATTATATATTATAATATTAAGTTTTATAAAAACCTAACCTTTTGAAAGTTATGTATAAATACATTGCAATATATTTATATATAAATTTTTAATCTAAATTTAGATAAGAGATTTTATATTGGCTAAAATTGTGTCTCCCCTTACGCATTTCACGAAGATAATATTTTTCACGGATATAACCTCAATTCGTTTTTTCTTCACTTCTTTTTTATCAATTCTCGAGAGAAAAAGTTTCATTCCTCCGGCAAATTTTCTATTTAAAAATTTATACGATTTTCATTGTACATTCACAAAAAGTCTTTTTCTTTATTTATTTCTATTTTTAATTTTTATTTTTTTTTTGTTCTCTCTTTCTTTTGTTTTCTCTTTTCTCGTATTTTTGTTAAACAATTTTGCTTTATATATATATATATATATAGACACACCACACACGCTCGCACATAATATACACATATATATGTACATATTTGTATATATGAAGCTTACAGAGCGGAAACCTTATCGGTAAGTTTCCCTTCTATGGGGATTGTCCTCATGGCTTCTTCTCTTCATATTAACGCTAGAGGACAGACAGATCGATTTCTCTGGCGCCCTTACCTTCTTCCCCCCCACCCGTCTCTCACTCACCCCCACCTTATATTTCTCGCTTATTCGAGAGAGTATATTCACTTCCTCATCGTCCTTCCTACTTCTCTCATCTTTTTTTCCGCTTCGTTCTCCCGTAAAAATTTATTCCACGCGATCTAGCGTGAAAAACGCTCGATAAGATTCATTAATTATGAATGATAATTTTTTTTTTTATGATCATAAAATTCTTTTTTTTTTTTTATGATCATAAAATTCTTTTTTTTTTTATTTTTATTTATTTTTTTTTCTTTTCGTATCATCGTCATTTTCTTCTTTCTTTTATTCCCCCCTTTTTTCTTTTTTCCTTGTTTTCATTAAGTTATTTTTTTCCCCTGCCATTCTAAATATCTTTGTAATCTACGTCACTTTAAAAAATTCGTATTAATCTTCTCAAAGAGAAGGAGATCACAATAAATGGGCGTCGTTAAACTCACTTTTCGCATAAATTTCAAAAGCAAATGTGGAAAGAAATAGGATATGCTCGGCAACTCAATTTTGTTGCTTCTTTTCACAGCCAATCCCACTCTTCCTTCCTTCCTCTCTCTCCTTCTTCCCCCTTCTTCCCTCCCCCTTTCTTCTCTCGCCTGTAAACAAGCACGCTAATTTTCACTCTTTACGATGTCTCAGCTTGATGATGCTCTTACGTCATTCTTCCTCGTCTCAAAAACGTTCCTGTACTTACAATTAGTCGTCCCTTTTTACCGATTCTTTTCTTTTTTTCTTCTTTTTTTTTTTTTTCATGACTAACATCTCACATGCTTCACGAATAATTCATTCTCTCTTTCTCTCTCTCTCTCTCTGTTTTTTTTTTCTTATTTTCCTCTTTTTTTTTTCTTTGCCATTGTGCCTTTTAAAACAAATGTATATAGCTTAATATGTGAGGGGGATATATACACATATGTGCAATATGCCATATATATGTGTATATATGTGTGTATGTGTGTATATAACTGCAAGAGATATTATGCTAAACTTAGACATGACATTTATAAGCAATTTTTGTATGGAATTCTGAAGAATAAAAAAAAAAGAATTTGCGTTCCCTTTTTGAGGGTAATATTAACGGTTACGCGCGCTTTTTCAAATTGTTCAAGAATGATATCAATCGATTTATTAATGAGAGAGAGAGAGTGGGAGGAAGGAAGGAGTAGAGGGGGATTGGTTTTGTATATAATTAATTTGTGAATAATTAATTTATAAGTAAGTTAGAGCTTTGTATAATTTGTTCAAATTTGTTCGTATTTCAACAAACAAGAATTAAAGTAAATTACGTATTCTGTAAAACAATATAACTTAGAAAAAGAAATGTATTTTCTTTCATTTAAAACAAACTTAGTAAAAAGATATAAATAAATAAAAAAGAAAAAAATAAAAAAAAAAAAAAAAGTAAAAAATAGTCAAGTTTTAAAAATCATATTTCTTCGAACGATATCTCCAATTTCGTTTTTTTTTCTTCTCTCTTTTTTCCCCTCTGATTTATCTAGCTTTTTCTGTTCTATGGACTCGTTCGTCTCATCGTATCCTCTCGAATACGCAGGAAATGTCGCTCCAATATGATCCATACGTAAAGATCGAGTACCATGTCCATATGTCTCTCTCTCTCTCTCTCTCTCTCTCTCTCTCTCTCTCTCTCTCTCTCTCTCTCTCTCTCTCTCACTCTCTCTCACTCTCACTCTCACTCTCTCACTCTCTCACTCTCAGAGGAAACAATGCTTTCTGCTCGTCGAGCCGTCGAGTTTCCCGATACAATCGAAACTTCGAAACGGAAACGTTCCCTTCTGTCAGCGAGAGAGAGAGAGAGAGAGAGAGAGAGAGAGAGAGAAAGAGAGAAAGAGAAAGAGAAAGAAAAAGAGAGAGAGAAAGAGAAAGAGAAAGAGATAGAGATAGACAGAAACAAAGAACATGTAGACGACGACTTGGGGGAGAAAGCATAAAATCGATTTTGCTTGTAGGCGAAGGATACCACACACATATATATATATATATATATGTATTTATATACATGTTTATGTTGTGTGTGTATATATAATATATATGTATAAATTTGTCTTCTCAAAAGAGCCAGAAAGTTTTTGTCTATTTTCTTATTTTACACAAATAGAGATAAAAGCGATAAAATATATATATATGTATGTATTTATGTATAATAGGAAAATTTGAAAAACCTAACCTAAATATTTACTAAATATATATATATATATATATATATATATATAAATTTGTATTAATACCTAATTAATTTAATTTAATAAATTATTACTTATATTCAATTTTTCCTTTGTTTATTTTTCTTTTTTCTTAAAAATTAAAAAAAAAAAATAAAAAAATAAAACTAGTAGTATGTATCTGCAAACAAAAATATTTGTTTGATATTTATGTATTAATAAGTTTCAATATTAAATTGAAAATTTCGTTTTCTTTATTTAACTTTTTATTATTTTGTTTATTGATTTATTTATTTATTTTTTCTTTTTAAGCCCACGTCGATAACGAAGTTTATCTCGGGAGAGCCCTTGAGAGACTCGGCGATGCTGCCCTTAAGGAACAAGAGCCCGACATAGGAGCAGCATTCCTTAAATTCGCAGTTGTCACCAAGGAATTGAGCGCCCTTATGAAGACTCTGGTATATTATTTATTTATAGAGTAATCTAACTTTTTAAAGTGTATATAAGTTGCCATTATAATTTTCTTTTACTTCTCAATTTTGTATTAAATATGATTGATTAAAATCACCTCGAAAAAACTTTATTTCGTTCAACACAGTTATATCTATATATACAATATAATGTTAATTATATGTGTTGTGTATATATATATATATATATATATGTACATATATAATTGTTATATATACAATATATACATAATAGAATATATACATATTGTATATATAATATATACAACATATAATAGTTTCTTATGATAACGAAGAAAAATGTTTTACCGACCGGGTTTTTATCGTACATTTGGCGGGAAATTAAAATTTTTATTTCGTTCACTTTTTTCATAAATATTTCGTTTTTAAAATTTTCATTATATATAAAAACATTGTTATATATTTTTTTTTTTTTATTAATTGTCAATTGATTTTTAAATAAACATATCATTATTAAGTACTTTTAAAAGAATAAAAGGTGATAAAGATGCGCTTACCCAGAAACTAATTTTGCAGATGCAAAACATCAATAACATCGTAATGTTTCCGTTGGATTCGGTACTGAAAGGAGATTTGAGAGGTGTGAAGGGCGATCTCAAAAGACCATTCGAAAAGGCGTGGAAGGACTACGAGGCAAAGTATGCGAAAATCGAGAAGGAGAAAAAGCAACATGCCAAGGAGGCCGGCCTTATTCGTACGGAGGTTACACCGGCCGAGATTGCCGATGAAATGGAGAAGGAGAGGCGATTATTTCAATTGCAAATGTGCGAGGTGAGAAGGAGAATTGATTAATCTGTTAGCGTAGGACAGAATAATATGATGCAATAAATGCATATCACGAGCTATGCTTCAAGGTTTCTATGTTATTTATTTATTTTTCTTTTTTTTCTTTTCTTTTATTTTTCCTTTTTTTTTTTTTTTAAATAATTATTTTTTTCCCTCTCTTTTTTATATTTTTAGTATCTCATAAAGGTGAATGAAATCAAGACAAAGAAAGGTATCGAACTGTTGCAGCATCTAGTCGAATATTATCATGCTCAGACCAAGTAAGTTCATTATAATTTTATATTATCGTCTTATTAATATGGATATATTAACCTAATAATTAACGTACTGAATTTATTAGTTTATCTCTTTGGTCCTTAGCTATTTTCAAGATGGCCTAAAGACCATAGAACATTTTGGTTCTTATGTGGCCGATCTGAGTATTAAGCTGCAAAAGATTCGACAAACTCAGGATGAAGAACGAAGACGTTTGACAGAGTTAAGGAGTTTACTTAGGAGTTCAGGTTGTGATAAAGAGGTAATAAAATTTTAATAATAAAGTTGGACTATTATTTAAATTATAAATATTTATTTTATATTGGCTAATACGTTGGAATTATTCTATTATATAGCTAAATGTAAATGCAAGCGCAGGATATTCCTTGCACCAACTTCAAGGTGATAAACAACATGGTGTAACACGTTCTGGACATTTGTTGAAAAAAAGTGAAGGAAAGATGAGGAGGGTTTGGCAAAAAAGAAGATGTGCCGTACAAGCCGAAGGTTATTTGGATATCTGTCATGCGGATGAGAATAAACCACCTACAAGAGTGAATTTACTTACGTGCCAAATAAAGCTGGTACCGGATGATAAAAGAGGCTTTGATCTTATAAGTTGTGAGTTAGAATTATCTATATTTTGTATATACATCTATATATAATACTTTTAAAGGAAACATTTAGAGAACACATTCAAGAAAATATCTTAAAATCTTTGTTTGTTTTTTAATTTTTATCTTAATTATAATTTTATTATAAACAATATCGTTTAGATAATATTGAAATATAATATATTTAATTTCATAGATAATCGTACGTACCATTTTCAAGCGGAAGATGAAGCAGATCAACGTGCTTGGATGTCGGTATTGGTAAATTGTAAAGAAAGAGCTTTGCTACGTGCATTCGATGCTAGTGGGAAAGCTGAAGCTGGCCAAGGAAATCCTAGTTTAGTCGAATTACAACAGGCAGTTATACGATGCGTTATGCGATTACCTGGAAACGAACAATGTTGTGACTGTTCCTCTCAAAATGGTAAAAAGCTATGCAATATAAATAATTTCATTTGGTATAATATACAAATAAAAATATATAATTGATATTATTAAACGGATTTAACTGTTTAGTTATAAATTATTAACAGATGCTACCTGGTTATCTACAAATTTTGGTATAATCGTATGTATAGAATGTAGTGGTATTCATCGAGATTTAGGGGTGCATATATCAAGGATACAGTCTTTAACTTTAGACAATGTGGGAACCGCCCAATTATTATTAGCACGGCATATGACTAATCAAGCATTTAATGAAGTGATGGAAGCTACATTACATCATAATCTTAAACCAACGCCTACGTCAACGATGTAAGAATACAAATTTTTATTTGTTTTTTTAATATATATATACATATATATATACATATATATCATTGTATTTGGAATCAACAGGGAAGAACGGTATGAATTTATAAGAGCCAAGTATGTTGATAAAAAATACGTCATGAATACTTGTGCGGATGAACGAGATCTCTTATCAGATTTAGAACATGCAGTTAATAATCGTGATCTACAACAACTCTTACAAGTTTATGCTGAGAATGTCGATCTAGCAGCACCTTTGCCCACCTCTGTGAGATATCAACTTTACATTTTTCTTTTTCTTTTTCTCATATATATATATATATATATATATATATATTATTATTATTATTATTATTATTATTATTATTATTATTTTTATTATTATTTTTATTGACAGTTTTTGTTACTTCATTATATCACAGGATATAGGTGAGACTGCTTTACATTTGGCAATCTTACGAGAGATGGGCAACAGTCTACAAATTGTTGATTTTCTTATACAAAATATGCCAACTGGTGGTATTGATAGGACAACGGTTGACGGTGAAACGGCGTTACATCTTTCAGCGAGGCACGATAGATCGGAAGCTATGAAATTACTTTTACGAGCTGGTGCCGACCCAAGTTATAGAAATAAACAGGATAAAACTCCGTTGGACATTGCTCAAGAAATGGGACATCATACTTGTAAAGAATTAGTAAGTATATATCTTTTTTTTTCTTTATGAGAGATTTTTGATGATACGCATAATTGAAAGTATAAATTCCCCGCCCTCTCTGTCCTCTCTCTCGTCCCCAAGAGTGTACCAGTAAAGCGATTTCTTTTTTTCCATCATGTTTTAGCTTAGTCATGCTTTACAAAGACAGAAGACATTATTCGATAACGTTAACATCGATTGGAATCTATCTCATGACGAAGGTTCAACGGACTTTTCTGATGACGAAACGATCATTGAAGATAGGGTGATTAAATACATATTATTATTTAGCAATATCTGCTACAATTTCGTAATATAAAATATATACAATACATACATATGTTAGATGATGGTAGATCAAATCGTTAAGATTTAATGAAATGAATACGTTTATTATTATTATTATTATTTTTTTTTCTTCTATATTTAGAATGGCTGTCTAACGCCTGAGAAAAAGTCACGTAGCAGACCACCTTCATATGCTGGTGGTGGAGGCACAGGTTCTGGTGATTCACCGGTGACATTACGTAGTCGTAGCAGTACTTGTGATAGTCTACAAAGTGGTTCCTCGCCAAGTTCCTCTACCAACAGACAACAAATGCCACCGCCTCCTCCACCACAAACGAGAAAACCTGTTGCTGGTAGGTTGTTATTGTTTAATTTTTTTTTCTTCTTACTCACCCCCCATCCACTCCCGTCCCCTTTTTACATAACAAATGATGAATAATAATCGAGCAATATTTAATCGGATAACATTAGTAAGCAATAATTATAAATATCAATATGGTAATAATGATTAATGAATAATATAATACGATATATTGTTGCTGCAATGAAGCTAATGAAATACATTTTTTTTTTTTTATTTTTTTTTATTTTTTTATTTTTTTTTTTTTTTTTTTTTTTTGTAAACAGTACCCACACCGATGACACCAGATATTTCAATAAATATCCATGGATCATTGAAGAAACGTGTTGCACCGCCTCCCCCACCATCAGGAAGCTCAAGTGGCATTCCATCTTCTCATTATGGTACACTACCTTCGTCAGCGTCATTAGCAACATCCACACATAGCCGGACGACGAGTGAGCCAATCTTAGCTGGACACACCTTACACACACTATCGCATACTTTAAACACACTTAACAATCAACACCATAAAAGATCACCCAGTGGAGACTCTTCTACAGGGCATGGTATGTTTAGGTTAAACTCGCTTTACGATTTTCTCCATGTAAAGCTCTATAGGTGAAATCGAAACTTTCCTCCTATAATTTTTCTATATTTTCCTTCTTCTTCTTTTTTTTCTTTTTCTTCTTCTTTTTTCGTTCCATTTATTTATACGTTTCAATGTTTTATATAGGAATGGACAAGACCAATAGTTCCACGCTACAAAGACCACGTAATCCACCACCACCTGCACCGTCCAGTGTTAGCACTTCCAGATTGAGTAATGGTCGTAGTAGCGAGTCTCTAAGTTCCATGTGTTCGGATCATGGCCTTGGCAATCCTGTTCCTCCTCCACGAAAGGTGAGCTTTACTTATTTCAAAAGTAAAGGAGTCTCTATGGTAAACGATAAAAATTGTTCTGTTATAATTACACGGTAAAGAAAGAAAGGAAAGAACAACGAAAAAGAAAAGAAAAAGAAATTGTGTATAAATATTTTTGTCTTTGGGAAAAATAGCGAGAGTTAAGAGACACATGAGAATGTGAACAATTTTTTTTTTTTTTCCTTTTTTTTTTTTAAATATTGTTTCTTTTTATACGACGTATTTCGATGAATGAATAATTTTCGTGAAAGCACTACTCCGTAGATATATACATATACTTATCTTGTTTTTATTCTTTTTTTTTCCACTCATTTCATTTCACATACATAAATATTACTCTTCACAACTTATTAATCGTTATAATAAGCTGTGTACACCTCCTATCCGTACGTGTACGATCGTATTAACAAAAAATGGTAGAAAATTTAACAATTGACTAACAAAGGATGTCCATTGTTTATCTCTCATCAATAACACGATTTTTCATTAATTTATTACCTTCCATCGAATTAAACAAACATGCTTGATACATATATATATGTATATATATGTCACACACCATACTATAAATGTCATGTCATTATTCACAGTCACAAATCTCTCTTTCATTATCGTAATATAAAAAAAATACTACATTGTTGTTGTCGTATTGAAGAGTTTCTTTCTGCTTTGATATATATTATCTTTTTTATCTTTTTTTTTTTAATTTTTTTTTTTTTTTTTTTTTTTTTTTTTTTTTTTTTTTTTTTTTTTTTTTTTTTTTTTTTTTGTCGTATTCAATCATCATAATGCTCGCACGTTACCCGCCCGCATAAATCTCTAATATGCTGGCTTTTTATATCAAAACACAATTTAAGAAAATAAACTAAGTAAATTAGTCATTTGCAAGTATATATTTTTAGCTTCACTTATCACGTTCTATAATTACAATACACGCATTGATTTATCATGCGATCTGCTTGTTTGTTTTTACCAATAACAAAACAACAGCAACAATTCATTTACATCTTTTTTTTTTTTTTTTTATTTTATTTATTTATTTATTTTTTCATTTTTTCATTTTTTTTTTTTTTTTTTTTTACGGTCAATAATACCAATATCATTAACGTGGAATAAAACTATTGATAATGTTTAGGCCATTTGTAAAACACAATCTCTCTCGTATATCCATTTGGTTTATGTAAAAAAAAAAAAGTCAATGATACATACATAAAAATAGAAATCACTTTTTGAAAAGTGGATACATAGGCAGTGCATGCATTTCGAAGTCAATGCTTTATGGTTTGTCATTAACCATTGTTGGCACAGCGAAGGGACCGATCCAGGCTAGAGAGCTACGCCGAGGAGCCTTCATCTTTGCTCTCAAATCTAAATCTGGTAAACAATTGTCGTACGACGTTACAACGTGCTACACTTGAAAAACTTTTCCATTTTCTAATACTTCAAATAGATATTTGATCATTTTTATTTTAATCGTTATACGTTTACATCGTTCATATAATCACGCAGTACGATATCATTCAAGGGATAGAATATAAAATTATAGATTATTCATCTTCTGACATTGTTTCTTATGACAAATAATACTATCTAAAGTATTATTTCAAGTGTAGTAACGTTTTGCATGATCAGTTCGTGCTGCTCGTATCTCCATTCGTAAAAGATATAACATGGTAGCTTTTGAAATAATTCTCTCGTTATTATCTTTATATTCGTATTAAAAAGTTTTCAGCTAAAAGCACAATCAATAATAATCTTGCTCGAAGAAAAGAGTCCTTCGATCTTTTGAGGAGACTTTTTAACACGTTGCATTGGAAAAAAAATAAAAAAATAAAAAAAAAATTGAAAGATAGAAAGAAAGAAAGAAAAAAAAAGATAATAATAAATAAAATCACATAATTTGAGTTCGCTTTTATGCGTGTGCTATCGATAGCATTTCTGCAAGTAATCATAAAAAAAAGTAGATTCATTCTTGAGAAATTAGAATTATTTAACAGGACATTTTTCGTAGTCAGAATATAATTTAATTTTCTAATCTTGCATGAGGAATCTTTTCGAATTCATTGTTCCTTTTATATATATATATATTTTTTTTTTTACTTTTTTTTATATTTTTTTCATTTTCTTTGTTGACCTTGGCAGTAGCACCCGATTGCACTCTCTCACACATAACCTCAACTTATCGCCAAAATCGACATTATCTTTTCAACCGATAGAAGAAACAATCGAGTCGTTAAAAAGCCTAAAGACAAATTACAGTTAACTAGCATGGTATGAAGTCTTGAAAAATAAACAAAAGAAAAAAAAAAAAGAAAGAACAAATTGGAAATTTTAGATCCTAATTTTATAAGATTTAAAATCATATAAAAAAAGCATCGTCTAGAATTTCCAATTTCTTTAATTTATTCTATGAGAAGTATTTTTCACGTTGCTGCCTTCGATGGGCTCGCTGTGAATCTGCGCTGTTTGTGAAAATTAATCGAGCCTGGCTTTTGATACATATATAATCAGCAATTAGACAAAGAACAATGTCATTCATTTTTTTCCGCTAAATATTCAATCTTACCTAACCTTAAAAATTGACTTTAAACTCTCTCTTTTTTTTCTTTTTTTTTTTTTCTCTTCAAAAACTTAAAAAGCCATCGCTGATTTCCTCTAGTTTCAATTTTTTTTCTTTTTTTTTAATTCTATTCGTCTTTCATTTACTTTTTAAAACAATAATAACAAAGTAACCACAAATTACTTCTCACGAGAAAAGAAAAAAAAAATAAAAGAAAATAAAAGAAAAAAAAAAAACAAAAAAAAGAGAATGTCCCAAATAACAATCCAAAAGTTTTCTCGACGTGTGACTACTTCTTTATCAAGAAAGTATCCATTTTTTTTCTTGTCTTTTCTCTTTTCCATCACTTCCTCCCACCATAGCCAACGTCATCGACCTTGAACGGTTTTCGACGATGTCGAGCGCTATACGATTGTGAGGCTGATAACGAGGACGAGTTATCATTCCGTGAGGGTGAGGTTATAATCGTAACGAACGAACAAACCGACGACGACAATTGGATGGAAGGTGCATTGGAAAGAGCACCTGAAAGGAGAGGGATGTTCCCGATAAGCTTCGTTCATATGCTGCAAGATTAACATTCGGTAAGCCTAAACTCGTTGGCAAGTGTCTCGAGTACGGCAAGTTCGGTAAGCATCGCCAGCCTTGGAAGAAGAAATTGGCTGAGAAAGCAGAAGGATTAGAAGGAGACGAAGGGGATCGACGTTGGAGAACGTGAAATTCTTAATTTATTAAAAATATTTTTTTGTTTTATTTTATTTTATCTTTTCTAATTTTTTTTTTTTTTTTTTTTTTTTTTTTTTTTTTTTTTTTTTTTTTTGAAGGTTAACGTGCAAAGAAAAACAAGTTAAATAATCTTAAGTTGGCTCTTAGAGAGACCATGTTTAGTTTTTTTAATTCCTTTGAAGTTGAACGGGAATTGTTCCTTATTTTTTTTTTGTTTTGTTTTTACCTCTTTTCTTTTTTTTTCTTTATTTTCGTTTCGTTTCGTTTCGCTTCATTTCGTTTCATTTCGTTTCGTGCAAAATTATGAGTGTTAACCATTCAATGTTTCGAATGACAATCACGAATCAGCTTTTTTTTTTATTAAAAACGAGAGAAAAAGAAAGAAACAAAAAAGAAGACAAAAGGAAATGAAAAGAGAAAATGAAAGTGTTTTGAAAAATGTTGAATTGTTTCATCTTTTAAATATCGAAGGAATTATATTTAATAAAGGGATGTGCGAATGGGTCGTGATTACTCGAAACAATTTTAATTGACTGAATATTGATCGAGTATTCGAACGGTAAAGATGTTCGATTAAAAAAAAAAGAAAAATGAAAAAAAGAAAAATAAGAGAGAAAGAGAGAGAGAGAGAGAGAGAGAGAGAGAGAGAGCGAGAGAAAGAGAGAGAAGAAAGTAAAAGAAGAAAAGAAAAGAAATCAAAAATCGAAGTAACCTATCGGGGTATTTAATACACGAGAAAGATATTTCGATGTGCTTAATAAACGAATCCGCTGAAAACGGATAGTTGCTTGGTTCTAAGCCGTTACCAAAATGTGATATCGTATATTTCATTGTAAATCGTTAGAGTACACACATATACACGCGGACACATACACATACGAACACATACACACACACACACACTCGCGCACGCACCTACATACATAACATTATAAAAGCGAATACGTATATGAACATATTATATTCATTTAATTATCATGAAGAGTGAAGGGGAGATTACGATAGTTCAGTCAAACTTAAATGATCGTGAGATAAGAAAAAAAAACAAAATGGCGAACAAAATAACGCAGAAAGAAAAAAAATCTAACTATTTCGATCTTTTTCGTATGAACAAAAATCATATTTATGACGTATGTACCGTTGTCCATCGTGACGTCACGAAGAAAACCGAATCTGCACGAACGACGTGTGCGCGTAAATATGAAAGTTAAGTTATCATTGTCGTCGTGACGTCACGAAGAAAATTGAATTTGGACGAATGAGCTGTACAAATAAGAAAAAAAAGTGAGGTTACCGTCATCTTCGTGACGTAACGAAGCAAATAGAATTTACACGAACGATGTGTGTAAAGAAATTAAGCGAGGTTATTGTTATTGTCGTGATGTCACGAAGAAAACCGAATATGCATAAACAATGTATGTAAAAAGTGGGGTTATATTTCTCGATGTTACGTATATACTATACCAACAATAACATTAACAACAATAACAGTGTATGTATTCTGGCATACACACATACACACACACACATACACATACGTACAGGTATGCATATATAGAAAGATAGTTGTCCCATACTGCCAATGAAAACAAAAAAAAAAGAAAGAAAAAGGAAGAAGATACATTAAATGCCATAAATGTGCTCCTGTGAAATGGCACAAAAGGGGTAAAGAAAATGAAAGGGTAACGGATCATTACTGAAATTCTACAGATGTATATATATATATATATATATATATATATATATATATATATATATACACGTATATATATATATATGCGTGCGTATGTAGGTACACACGTAAGTATATATAAAAAAAAATGAAAATAATAGGTCTACTATTATAAAAACTCCATCCTGTTTAAGTATAAAATCGATAAATTAAAATATTGCATGGATATTACGAGTATTGTATTAATATATATTATATATATATATACACGCACACACACACACACATACACGCACATACAACATAACATATACACATATACAATCGACTTAAAGATGACGTGTTACGAGTACGTGTAAATTTTTTTAATGCCATATTATGTGCTAGTAAAAAAAGAGCTCTGAAGAATGGTATGTGTGTGAGTGTGTATATATGTATACACATACATACACATACATATAGAAATATATATAGAGAGAGAAAAATATATTGGTTAGAAATCTTACGAGATAATATTAACAAATTCTTTGACATCGATTTTCACGAGATTAACTTTGGAAAATCGAAGACGAAGAATTCAAAATCGATTTTCTCGTTTTAGCTTATTTTAAGGTTACGTCGTACGGCGTAGGAAGGATGACGACGTATGTTGAAAATTCGAATTTATAGTATTCTATATACATGTGAATAAATACATAACCAAAGAGAAACCATGGAAAAAAGTTTAAAAACGGTGTGAGAATCTTGTAAGAAAAAAAAAAAACGAAACAAAAAAGAAGAAAAAACGTTACTAAAGGTCGATGCGGAAATTCAAATTTCGCGCCTTTTTTTTATATACGTTTCTTCTTGTCCGATATCGTTTGAATTGTATTCCTTTTTTTATGTCTCTTATTAGCGTATTTAATTTATAACGTAAATACATTGAACGCATATAAAAATAAAAGTGAAAATGAAAATGAAAATTAAGAAAAAGAAAATAATAATAAAAAAAAAAAAGAAAAAAATAAAATAAAATAAAATAAAATAAAATAAAATAAAATAAAATTTGGCTTTCACTATTATTGACGGTTACGTTATCTTTTGGCATTTTGGATTTTTACGTCGCATATTTTGTGTACGTGACACAATAAAAATTCACGTACGTAACATGCCATTGCTAGCTTGTCGGGAAAACCTTTAAATTAAGGGATTAATGTGTAGCACGCAATTTTTGTGTATATATGTACGTATAGAGAATGATGGAGAAATGTATGAATGTTCTTTTTGTGGGAGTGTGTGTGTGTGTGTGTGTGAGAGAGAGAGAAAGAGATAGAGAGAGAGGTGTAAAGGGAGAGAAAATGTGAAAGAATGAGAGAGAAAGGAATAATCGATGTTTATAATTTATGATATATATATATAAAAAATGAAAAAATCCACTTAATTATTATAATAGTATTAAGTATACAGATACGATGTCTGTTAATTATGGCAATTGGAGAGAGACTCATTTCTCATCTTTGGCATTTCGAAAACACGCTCATATAGAAAATATTTACACGAACACATGGATTCTTAGACGATAAGTATTTATTATTATTTTGTAGCGCCTTTTAAATCGCGAAAAATATCGATGATGCATAAGGAATAAAAGATGGAAGGAGAAGGAAAAAAGAAGAGAGAGAGAGAAAGAGAGAGAGAGAAAAAGAAAGAATAAAACAGAAGAAGAGAGGAGAAAAGAATGTAGGGAGTCAAGGATTTTTCGAATTATTTCGTACGACATTATGAGATAAGACTTTCATTGTAATTCGTATGCGTATTAGATACGGGAAAGAAAAATAATAATAATAATAAAAATACACGAATACCGCGATAATAATAGTTACTTATTGATATGTTTCAAACATGTGTATGACGTATCAAAACTTTAACTTACGGTTCTCTGAAAAAGAGAAGACTTTTATTCGATCGTCATATAAAACATATTTACTGATATACCGAAAAATTTCGTATGCATTAGTATCAAATGACGTCGAATATTTGCAGTAGGGATGTAACGAGAATCACTATAATCATTTTTTTCTTTTGAATTATTAAGAAAAAAGAATCATGTGATTGAAAGCCGTTTTAAAAGGGAAAATATCACATGACTATGTTATACCGTTTGTTGGTAACTTATCGACCGATGATAATCGACGATACACTTCCTCTGTCGATAAAGTAGATAACTATATATAATAGAATATTCATGAAGGTAAATTTGTAAAGATAGATCGGTAATAAAGGGAGAGAAATAATACGCATAGTTTTAAAATTAAAGAAAAAAAAAAAAAGAAAAAAAAAAAGAAAAACCTGTTACACATCGTACGATTTCGATATATTCTTGAAGTCGTGAAATCAAATCGGTAAAATATCAAAATATATTCAACGAGTAATATGTAATTAAGCATCACCGATCTGCAGATATTTGGCCAAGATATATATATACATACATATATATATATATATATATATATATATATCTTATATATATATATATATATATATATATATATATATAAGAGGATAGAACAATTCACACGAAAGACGACAATATATCGATATCCCACTTGTATACTTCTTTACCATTGAAATTGTGCACAATGTCTCTTTAAGTCGCGCGCGGATTCAAATAGAAGAAAAAAATAAACGCTATTTAGAAAGCTGCAGTATTTTATTTGTTATTAATTATTACTTCCTGAAAATACTTTGTCGATTTTAAAAAAAAATAATGAAAAATATTTTATAAATATATATATATACACTTCACTTTTTTCTATACTTTTAACGATTATCTAAGATTATTATCTAAGAGAAAATACTTTTTCTTTATTTTTTATTTTCAAGATGTTTTCTTTTTTTCTTTTATATATATATATATATATATATATATATATATATATATAATTTAAGGATGTGCATGTAGTAGAAGGGAAAATAATTTATTTATGTTTTTGTTAGTTTTTCTTTAAATTTATTTTCAAGGTCACATTCTGCGTATGAAAAATCTTTTATTGAAAAAATGCTCTTCATGCTACAACGTCAGTGTACCTTCGTCTGTTTAATTATTATTATTTTTTTTTTTCTTCATTTTTTTTATAACAGTACAAAAATTGCATTTTTACAAGTTGCCCAGCTTATGTGACTAAAAAACGTTTCAGCTAGCACTCTTGGCAATCGAAAAAAGATACCTCTCATCTTATCATCCTAGGTACTAGAGGAATCGTTTTGCAACAAGGACGATCACCAAAATATCTCGCTACGATAGACTATAAAGTCAAACCAGGTGAAAATAATTATTATCCATATGGTCTCGTACCTGTGCACAGCAATGCGTTTTTCTTTTTTCTTCTTTCATTTTTTTCTCTTTTTCGTTTTTTTTTTTTTTTAATTCGCTTACGTACGTTTTTATTTTCCTTCGTTTTTTTTTCTTTTCTTCTCTTTTTTTTTTTTTCAAGTTTTCTTTTATTTCTCTATTTTTTCCTATCTCTTATCGTTTCGCAATATCAATTTGCCTTTTTTTTTTTCTTTTTTCTTTTTATTATCATTATTACAAAACGTAGCAGCAAATCGTAGTCGTTATCGTTACACGAACGCGTACCCAAATTATTTCTATATATGGGTGCTGTCATTATTAATAAAAAAAATTCGTTTCAGCCGTTTTCAATCTATAGAACGTCGAATATACATATTAATGCCGAAATTATTACTTAACTTTGAGAGAGAAAAGAAAGAAAAAAGAAAGAAAGAAAGAAAAAGAATATATATATATATGTATATAGACAAATAAAATAATTTCTTTCATTTATATTATACTATATTATATAATTTAATTTTTTCTTGTAGAGAATATATAAAATC